CAAGTTTATAAAATAGGGCTTTGGCGGTATTTTAAACAAGAGAAGCGCGCTCTTCTCGCTTCACCTGTTCTTCTCGCTTTTTACAGAGAAAGCGCGTCGCTTTTTCTACCAGAGTCGCTTTTTAATGGCAGAGAACAATAACCGTAGCGCTCCGCTTCGCTCTCGCTATAAAGCGACGAAAGCGCTCGCTTTTTTAATCACCTGTAATAAATCTAGGTTTATATGATGTAATCCAATTCATTTTACCATATTTGTTGTCATATTAATTCCAACAAAGATATTCGTCGGTTATCACAGGGGGAGACCATATTCATGTATGTTAATTCGTGTTAGGTTTATACATTAAAATATCAATTTCCATCTGGTAGCCTATGGACCGTTGCTGTTCTATGAATGTTGAGATGTGCACATATTCCGCATTTTCCCATAGAAGTGCCATACAAACACGTTATACATTTATGTCAGTTAGAAGCATAAGTAAACATTATTAATCTTGTTTAATTGGACTTTCACCTGAGCCTGTTTTGGATTATTATGAGACATTGCAGGAAATTTCGAATTTACACGGAGAGAGAGCAAGACATGGTTTATCCTTGTGATGTTTACAACGAAACTTTGAGTACTCTGTAGTATGTACCAGTGTTGTCACAACGCTACGCTTAAAGTGCGCTAAGCCCAAAACCGAGGCTCAAAACATGTAGCGTTTCCCTCGCTTTGCCGGCGCTTCCAAGTGTCCGCATCAAGGCTCTAAGCATACTTTTCATTGCCATGCAGTTAATCCTGAAAATGCGACAACTAAACAATTGATATTTCACTTATCGTAATTTTTTCAATTTTTGTCCATATAATTTGTATTCATGCTTATAATTGAGTGTTCTTGGACTGCATATTAACATATTTTTATTTTTTCTCCAATGTGCCTTCTTTCATATAAAGCCAACGCTTTATTGCGCTTTTCGCTTAAAGCCCCAACGGCCTTAGAGCTTTTTTGCGCTTTTCGCCGTTGATAACTCCTGTAACATATAGCAGATTGAGAGTCTGTTTCGTGCTCTAGGCGGACACGCTTGTGAGTAGACGTAATGTAGAGAGCTTTTTGACTAATTTCCACAGAATACTCGAAGGGGTATAGGAGAAGGAAAACTTATGGCTGCTGCGGTTGTGAGATGATGACATGCACCAAAGGCTTGAGCATGGACAGTTCATGATGACCGAACAATATCAGCGCATGGTTTAATTTCTCTCCTTGGTTACTGTTGCTTTTAGTAACGTCACGAAATATGGGGAATGATAAGTTTGGCCGTAAGGGAGGGGCTGCGGGCTAGTGTTTTACGCTAAAGTATCTCTAAGGATTGAGAAGCTCAATTCGTTAACAGCGTGGAGCACTGAGATATATCTATTGTCAATGAGTGTGGAAGAACTACCATATGAATCTCCCAAGGTCAATGCGGTGTTATAAAGATTTAAAGTAGTTATACTTTCCTCAGTAATTGGAAGCTCAAAGATCATGATGATCTTCTCTTTTTTTT